TATGTGTGTGTGTGTGCATAAATTGACGGCTGTCTTACAATCAGTTTGGATAACAGAAATTTATCTACGACATCTGAATAATACATTTAGAAAACTTGCAAAACATACCATTACTAGCAGTACGCCAGAAACACGAAATATCATCGAGAGAAAAGACGAACGCAGATCAGTGATCAAAGAATAAAAAAATAGTAACTATCATGCATATTCAACAGACTAGTAAATTGAAACTTTGGAAACCGTTTCAATAAGACGATTTATAATGAAATCATTTTCGTATATGTACAACGAAGTCTCTTGTACGGGAGTATCAAAGATAATTTATAAAGTATGTCTGTATTTATTCATGAAGATAGGATCATAAAACAGTTGACAACGACATCATACACTAATCCATAATAATGTTTGGATTCTTTGACAAGACATAAGTTTTCCTAAAATTTATTGTAAAATTCGGTTGAATAATTTTCAGTTTTATTTTTTCGAATACATTTGAACTGGTTGCAATTAAAGGCTCAATCTACACCATGGATACTGAAAGAGATTACTCATTAACCCATCTCTGCTTTTTCTCTGTAAATATTAAACGCAACATTTTAAGAGTCTCCTAATGGTGATATTGATATAACCAACGATTTTTAAATCACCTTATATATATATATATATATATATATATATATATATATATATATATATATATATAATTTTACTTTAGTGTAGGTAAATACAAAGAAAAGATTATGGCATAAAATAGAAAGTTGATATAATCTCAAGAAGATCGAAAATCGTTTCATACTGAAATTAGTGTGATTTCAGCAAAATGAACTGCAGAGTATTCATAGTCAAATACGGTGCTATGCATTTCAAAAAATGGTTACGATCAAAATATGGCTGCCAGTAACCGGCATGTTGCCCTATATAATGTTGTAGAAAACGACAAGATGGAGACGAAGGAATCAATGCTTATTATTGAGATCTTGGACAGTAATTATCGAATATGGTACACTGTCCACTAAGACAGTCATTTGCATAATGTGCTTCATTTTCTCTTCTGCTTCTATCTTGATTTATTCTTAATACGCCCACATTGTCTCTTGTATTACTCTGGGCAGCATCTTTACCGATTGCTGCTAATTCACTATGATTTTTGTCACCTTCACAACTACCTATATCCATTCTGATCAGCAACGTCCACTTCAATGTGACATGTTACTGTTCATTATTCCTTTGAGTATAATTTCAATTATTCTTTTCATTCTTTGTATTACATTCAATCTAGATCAACACATCAAGCTTATATGGAAACGTGGCGGATACCATCAGTGATGAAATATAGGCTTATAAATACGGGAGAGATGTAAAGAGAAAAATTGCTCTTAGTGTTTTTGAACTATCTAAAATGAAATATCCAATGGGCGAAAGAGTAGGATGTTATACAACATTGGACATGTGTTGTGTATACCACGTCAAAGACCACTTTGGTGTGCAATGTTAACAGAATTTGAAATAGGTTAGAAAAAGGCTCAAGAAAGCCAGGCTAGGACATAGTACCAGTCCATGAAGTCTCTGACTCGTGGTTGGAGCCAAGAGGGGAGGTAGAAACTACCTGGTTAAGGCATCCGAGAACAATGAAATCTCTAGTCAGAGACTCTTGATGAATATATATCCACTATTTGATGCCTTCAAAAGCCTGAATATTTTTACTAGCCTTCAGTTTTAAATTCTTTTCCTCTCATACATCTTTGTCTACTTTGATACCACAAAATCTTAACCCGTTTGTTCTTCGCACACCGCTGTGAAGAGTGGAGATTTGAACCGATGCATTTCAGTGTAAGATTCTACATTGATTTTCTCTTCTCTGTCTATCTGATACAACAAATAATCGACTAAAATTATTAATTTTCAAAGCAAAACAATGACAAAACAAGAGCAAAAGTACAAAGAAGCTAAGAATATATGAAAAATGACAATCAGACAAACCTAGAATAGCAAAAGATTCAGCGTTTAGGACAATATACAAGTGAGTACTTGTACTTCATCTACGATCGGATGCAAAGGTAGGCCACTGTTTAACAAACCAAGCACATATCATGCATATTTCAGTTTTAGAATGAATATTTAATCGCTATTGCTATTACAATACACATACCTCAACTCAGCACTGCTTGCTCAGTGAATGCCTACATACACATCGGTGAAAGTCATCTTTCTTCAGATCCCTACTGTTTTCACCAACTTTTTGTTTTTAACCAATATATTTCACGGAAAATGGGAAAATAATCATTTTACCAACAACTACATTATTTCCATAGTGAACCTGAACTGGAAAACCGACTTCAAATTTGATAAGTGGATTGTCCGTACAAGTATTTGAAAGTAATAGTACCAATTGACTTGGTAAAGTATATAAATCGTGCATAACACCAACAACTTTGTGATAACTATTTAATTGAACCAGAAAGAGAAAAAGTAGACTGATATCCAAGTGTTATCATTGTTGTTAATATTCATATTAAGAGAAGGAGGAGAATTAATAGTGGGATTCTAGAAGAAGAATCCATAGTTTGTTATTTTTGGTTACAATATAAGACAATGTTGGAATTGAACCAGACATCTGAAATACTGATAGAATAAAATGTATCACTATTTTTAGAAGGGACGAAATTTACTTCAATATAAGTAAACCATAAAATCGACAGCGTGCGTAGAATTACCCTCTTAGAACATCAGAATATCGACTACAGCACTAGTTATTTCATAAACATATTTCTCATTATCAACTTTGAAAGAGCAAGAGAAAACAGTGAAACAGAACAATATGTATCCATTTTATTATTTTGGGTGTTCTCGTCAGTTGCTTCCAACCTAGAATATTTACAATAAAATATGAAGATACCTTAGCTCAATGAGTCCAGTTTAAAAAAGAGGCAATGAAGTAGCGAAACTATCAGAATTGAAATAAAGTCATAATGTCATATTATTATGTAACAGAGTAGAACTCAGTCAAGTAAGACTGAGGTTTAGAGTTAACTCAAAATCTGATGACAGGATAGTGACTCAATCAAATAAGTGGAAGGTTAAGAATATTTATGACATCATTGTTTTGACACTTTTGGCTTCATTTCAATTTTGACAGTTTCCTCACTTCGCTATGTCATTGTCCCGTGCTCACTAAAGTACGTAAACATGTTATGGCAATCTGTTATTGTAAATAATCCAGATTGTAAGCAGCTGACGAGAACCACCAAAATAATAAAATCGATCAATTTTTTTAGAAAGTAGTTGTACAACATAGTTCAATTAGTACACATATGTTAAAAACCTTGAAAACATTCCACACTTCAGCATGATTCTGCACCATTAATAAGTAAGCAAAATCCTCATGCACATTGGAACGACTTCAACCAACACGAATAATCATTTAGAACCCGTTCCTTCTTCAGCATTTTCATCATATACCGACGATAATGAGAAGGAGAAAAAAGACTTTATTTTTTCTAAAACCATGCAACATAGTCAATTATGAGTATAAAATTATGTTAGAGCACAATTTCACGCCAATACACATAGAAACGCTTAAATTTTGTTTAAACAAATCTGTGTTACCTGTCACCCAATAATACACGAGTAAACATAGTCAATGTTATTAATGCTTAACAGAATTCTGATTAGATAAGTTATGTAAATTTAAACGAGTGTATACGCATATATGTAAGTTAGACACAAGTGCATGGTACATGTATTTTTGTGAGTCAGAATAAAAATCAAAAATTAAATATACTTAGATGAAATATAACTTACTTTGTTTAGCCTTGAGTTCAAATATTAAATAAGGAGTGTTTATACACATTAGAGAAAATTTATCATACATCTAAATAACTTGTTTTATAGCAGTCCATAGAAGAAAAATTGATTTTCATTAACACAAGCATAAGAATCATGGAAATTCTGTACCAACATCAGTTAGTAACAATGATGATCCATTTCATTTCATTATAATCTCCACAGATATTTTAAAATTTCAATACATAGAACTAAAATCTTGAAATGATCATATAACTTCTATTATCTCCCTAATCATTAGAGAAATAAGACAGTTTTTAACCGAGATTAAATACATTTCTGATGAATATATCTTGCAGACAAGAATTATTAGTGCTGACTGGCTCAGTTGCATAATATTCAGCAGGTATGGAATAGTTTTAGAAGATTATAAACTAGAGAAATAGACTTTTTCAAGGTGTATTTTGGCTTTATTACCTCATCTTGTGTGTATATTACTAAGTTGTGTAATATAACATTGAGTTCATTTGTTTAGAAAAATATGAGTTGTGAGTCTTTCATTTTATTTACCTCAAGACAAACTGTTTCATTTTGATCCTATCACACACATGTGAAACGATTTTATTGGTCTGTTAAGATAAAACTAATTTTATCTAATAAGTGTACAAAAACCACAGCAGCAACATGGCCTCACTAAAGTGATAATTTCAGAAAATACTCTAAGTGATCAGCTTCAGGTTGTTTTTAGTTGCAGTCGATAGAGTAAACAGATTGTGAAATGATAATGAACAAAACCACAATGAGATAGTAGATGTGCTCAAATCATCATTCGCATAGATTGTTTTCCAAAGTAAAATAAAACTAAAAATATTGGCTACTTACAGGAATTCCAAATAAAAGAATACTTCTATTAGGACGCTATAATTCAATATTTAACAAAACAAATGTATTTATTACTGAATAAATGCTCTAATAACAGCACACTATCTGTCCAACTAAATATTATTTCTTTGTTCCCTAGTTTAGTTTGCGGTTTGCTGATAGATCCTTGTTCGAAGAACTGTGCAAGAATAACTAGTTTTGTTTGTTGAAAGACTCATCAAATGCCAATATTAGAACATTGACGTATCAGCAGTGAACTTGAATAAAAAGAATGAAGTCCTAAGTACAACATGATCAAGCTTTCATATAATAAACAACGGTCTTTTATTACTTACATAAGGTACTAAGAGTTTATTGACTAAATCAAATAAAGCCAGGAGAACATCTGGAGAGGGTGGTTGAATAGCGCTACCAATACAATCAGGATTCTGGTTAGGATCAATTCGATTGTTTTTAACTCTTATATGGTTAGAAAGACCACCAACACCTGCGTTTCCTGTAGATCCACGTGGTTTACTTCCATGATCACCGGAGGGTCGTCCAGGAGTATAGTGTGAAGTAGTCATTCGACTTGGTATACCATGATGTAGATTTGAAAAGCTGTTTGTCTTCTCACTTTTCTTCATTTTGGATACTCCACATAACAAAACATCAGCATCTGCACTCAAAGGTCTTTCACAAACTCCTGAAGATGTTCTTTCATATTTTCTTATATGACTTGATGAATTACGATCCTCTTGTCCAACAGATGTCACTGAATAGGCACGTTCGAGTTCAACTAAACTTGTTGTTGAAGCAGCGATATCAGATTCACCAAGGAAAACTGATGCCAAATTCGTAATAATCTTCCAAAAAAAACAAAAAATTCCACGAAAAAAAAGCGAAAAATTAAATTATCACACATAGTAAGAAAGGGTAAAAAAAAAGGAAAAACGAATTTGCTGGATTTCTTCTAGCAAAACTAGAGTACTATGCCACAAAGTGAAGACAACGTTAACGCTATTGATTCAATAAGCAAACCACAATAACTTTAAATCAATGTAGAGGCAAAAAAAGATCAGGTCGTTACTGAGAACTTTAACTGACACAGAAAAGACAAGACATTTATATGTAAAGACATGGTTTTTGACCTTTTTCAAAGGTTAGAAGAATGATTCATTGAAATTAATATTGACTGGTAAAGCGACAAACTAATGAAAATCGTCCAATCAGATGAATTTAAATTACTCTTTGCTTGTTCATCCTCTTGGCTATAGTGAAGATGAATACAGTTGTACAGCCATTGCTGAGAATTGTCTGATTGTTTACTAAATTCTTTATCATCATTCATTGACTATCAACTGTTTGATAGATAAATGTAAAGCTGTGCTAGTCTTAGTCACATCCTGTTCTATTTATAATTGACTGTTTTATCTTATAAATGATCATGGGATTCGAGATGTTATTCAGTCATTTGTTTGGTCTTTCAATGTCCATTCAGAAGGATTCCAAGGATAGTGCGCTTTCAGTCATGTTTGGTCGAAAGTATCTAAGTTGTGAGCTGAAGTACACGGTTCAACTCCCCAATATATCTATCTAACTAGGGGTACGTACAATCGCACTGTCCAGACAAGTTAGAATTGTAATAACAGCAAGGTACATCATAGAAAAAACCACAGCATTACTTATTGAAATAAAGATTAAATCATAACTCCTTGTATACTATATCACGTGAGAGTTTTTTTTAGAAATTGAATGTTACCAAATATATTAAATGAGTATGAAGTTACTTTCAATACTTGATGACAGTTTAAGCAAATCTAAATTTCTTACGAACTTTCAAATCCACTTAAAGCAAATAATCAAATGAGATAGAAAAAGTTAAACTATTTAACACTTCGGTAACCAGTAGGACAAAAGTACTATCGCTTTATCTAGCTCAGATAGACAAAAGTAATTTTCATATACAGACAACATAGTTTTGTTCTTATAGTTGAGTACTACAGGCGGTGCATTAAGTATATATGAATAAATTAATCAAGTTAGAATCAAATAGAATGATTGACAATGACATACTGCACTAAATCATTACTTTTACATACACCCGAAACTCCATTTACAGAATGAGATTCGAACCTGTGACTTTAAAGCGTCTAGACTGAAGAGCCACTAACCCACTAGCTCATCGGTAGCCGATCTAAAAGTAAAAATTTATCTTATTATGTTTTTTTTATTAATTACTCACTTTCACTTTATGTCTTCATAATGTTGCTATGTAATTTTATGTGGCGCAATTCTTGGTGCCCTTCCTTTAACATGTTTGTGTCCCAATAATAATGATAAGAACAATAATAATAATAATAACTATTATTGTAACGACAATAATAACAATGATAAATGTGACTAATGAGACAAGTAACTTCAGAAATTCATCTTTCCACAATATTATCAATACTCAAACTTTTGTCTTCGGCAAAAAAGGTGAAAATATAGGCGGAAATCCTTCTACGACGCACTTTCTAAACCCTATCTAGTACTGCAGTATGAAGAAACCTAGTGTGTATCTCGTTTTCCTTGATAAATAACTAAACGACACTTTACGGACTAACTAACCACTACATAGTAATCAACGTACACGTCACGCATCACGAATTCAAACGGTAGTCGGGCAAAGCCTTTGGTGATTGAAGTGAAATAAAAATCTGGTCAGCAGTCAGACCTCTTAACTTAGTTGGTAGGTCATCAGGTCGGTAACTCGGTGGTCGCTGGTTCGAATCCGGCCGCGGTCCAAATTTTCATTTCATCGTCAATCATCACCCACTATAAGTACACATGGAAAACAAGATGATGATGGAAATTTATCAACTATGTTTGCAATATAGTCGACTGGCTAAGTGGCACAACACTAAGGTGAATTGAGTTAGGCGTCAATTGGAAAGAAGTCGATGACCTAGACTTGATGTCGCATGGCATCCATCAGTTGAGGAGTATCTACTACTGACTCTAGGGGACTTGTATTTCTCCATAGGTTTAAAGCTATACAGCTTACTGGTGAACTTTAAATTTGAACCTCCGTGGTAAAATGCGTTTCTAGGCCAGGATATATACGCTTTACCGATGAGTGTCAATAATAACAAAACCCAAGTCCATAACTTCTTTCTCTTACACTCTGAAGCATAATACTGATTTTTAATGTTAAGACTAAACTTTTAGAAAACAGAGACCAACTTAAATAAGAAAATTGTTGATAGGATCTTCTACACTTACTAACAACAACAAGAAGAAGAATTACTACTTAAACAGCTATGAATTATATGACTATAGAATAATAAAACAGTTGAATATCTAATTCTATAAGGAGCTCACTTTCTCACCTGGAAAGTTTCCATCATAAATAACAGACATTTCTATATAACAATTGTTATAAGATGACTTGGTGAAACTATAACCAGATTTAGTGGCATTACTCCAAACAGAGTAAGCGCAAAAAAATTTAAGTATCAATTATTTTTTCAACAAGCATTGATTCAAAACAAATCTTTGCTAATAATAAACTCAAATGTTGAGCATATTTGTGTATTCAATCGAAAGATTTCTATTTCAATCGATAATCTTATTCGTAGTCCTTATTGAACACTCAAAGTAGGTAACATCAATAATGCAATACAATTATCACCATCATCACTACCATCAATTACCTCTAGAGAAAGTTTTAAAAAAAACATTTGATATCAGTGATCCACCCACGCATGTATAGATAGATTGATAGAAAATCAAGGCGTCAAAATATAAAATCAATGATACAATGCGATACTTTGCTAATTTGGGGTGAAATATTACTTCATATAAATATTATTATTAAAGTGAAGCGTAGCTTCAAGATTAGAAGATGTATTATGAATCAGATGAACAATTTCGTCATAACAGAGTAGTTGAAAAGACAAGATATATTGTAAAGACACTTTTTACAATGGATGACGTTTACGTTTACAGCAAATAACTAACATATAGCTCAACATATGATATTTAATAACGTTTAAATCAATTTAACCCATTGTGTCTTCTATTATGAAGTGGACTAACTGATTTCTATTTATGTCAGTTTATTAAAACGTATACACAGAGGGTAGAACATTTTCATTGTGATGAATGTTAACGGCTTCAAGGGTATAATTTAGACTGTACATGAAAAGTTTTAAAATGCATACACATTAGATCTAGTCTACATGTATGCCTTATTTGGATATGAAAAATATTTTTCTTGAATTAGCAGATTTACCTGCTATGCCAACAAAAATTTTTATTATTCTGATTACAGTAGTGTTATACAAAAAGATATGAAGGGTATCTGCAAAAATGAGTTTTCTCGATAACATTTTCTTAAAGTCCTACATTTATATCTACAGATTAAAGAATTATACTTCAAAAAAATTGCCTGAACTGGCCACTTCCTATTGCGTTTATCAGTTTGACTGCTTTAATGGAAACATACTACCGAACAACTCCGATAGTAGTTAAGTAAAGATGTGATAAAGACCATTACTAGCTTCATATTAGCACACTTCGTTGAAACGAACCATGAGGTGGATAGGCAAAACTGGTTTTCCATCGTATACCCGGTTCTCATAAACTTACCGAAAGGTACCCGGCATCAATCAAGATCAAACAACCGGAATTATGTGTTCAAAAAATAGCAAGTGTTTCCACTTCAACTACCGTGGGCAGATTCAGAACTCACAAATTTCTTAGCATCGTATTCTAGGTAATCGGATTTTCTAATTCTATTCTGTAGATGCCCTTTCATTCCTATAATCTGAAATAATTTTAAGACATTCTTTTAACCCATTTTGTCCCGCAACAGGAGTAACGTTCTATGTAGCTATTACTTCTTGAGTCATCCTACTTAGTTTATTTCATCCACCTGTTACTAACACCATCCTACTGTTTTATTAAACTATTACCTTATAGCATGACGTGCACCGTATAAGCGTTTAGATTATCAATTATTTTGGATTGAACTGAGTAACAGTTGATTCGGATATCAACGTTGACACAAAACTTTTCTGAATTGACTTCCTCAACTGTACAATGTCATTAAAAAACTGATGAGGAAAATCTCAATAATGTTGATGCAAAAGTCCTTAAAATATAAATAAAACTGGAGAAGCTAAAGAAGTCATCGAAAAGAATATTTGTTCGTTCAAATGGCTTTTGAATTATAATGGTCCGAATAGCGAATGTTCCAGGTGTAACCTATTGTTCACAAGTATGACGGCCTTGATTCCCAAATTACGAATCTTCATCCTTCTTTCCAGGATAGATATTACAACGGTTCTAATATCCTGGGCAAATGTCGAATTATCCTAATTATATTTTATGCTTATTCAGTAAACAAAGATTCCGTTAACAATCTATATCTGCCTAAGATAACTTTCGAAGCCTTTGCTTTGTTCAAAGTTATGTTGTATAATTAATTGTATGCATGACCTATGATTGAGCTTTTCAGACGATTTTTAATCTAACTCTAATTAAGCGTTTGTTTTAGTGTAGGTTAGTTAGATTCAGTGCTCTGGTAACCTATTTGATGCCAATCAATTTATTTGTCCAACGAATTCAAGCTCACAGTCATTTCATAGAAATAGGAAACTGAACTGTTCTATGGCAGAGTCAACAAGTTTCTCTAGCTGATAAAAAAAACTGGTTTCTTAATCAGTTCATAGGTTTGACTAACACTCTAGACCCAGCCTTGATGAGAAATATAAGTAACGTTCGTCCCTTCGTGCTGATATTATCATGTATGTTATGGACACCTAGATACATTTACAGGGAAATAAAGTTCCCTTTATATGTCACCAGTGTTTTATTG